CTATTGTAACAAATTTCTTTCTTTTAAAATTTTCTAGTTTCTAGCGAAGTTGTGTTTTGTAAAAGGTTGGCCTCGCGTTAGATTCTAGAGCTAAAAGTTTTCAACAAGGTCGTTTTAGACCTCAGTTTCAAACTAATTAACTCTGGCGGGAAGTATGTAAGGATCTTAAGTTTTACTAACGTTTATTTTATTTTAAATCTTTACTATCACTTCTTATTTTCTACTTCCGGCCAGAATTATAAGCGTGAAGGAGTTTATGCAAAGTTTGTCTGGCGAACGCCAAGTATTTAAGTGTGTGGCCTTTTTGCCAAGCAGAAGAGAGAGGAAGCCGTGAGTTCGAAGCAGGCCGCTTACCTTAGAAGTTACGCAGTTGCTACTTTGCCTTCCAGGCCAGAGGTTTTAATCCTCTTGATAAATTAAACGTATTGTAGTGTTCACAGTCTCTGTGCTACATACGCTTCCTGTTATTATAAGGCCAATCTTATTCTAAAGTTAAATTAGAGTTTAGTTTTATTTTGATATCTTTTAAGTTAGACCCCGAGTGGAGGGTCATTGTATTCCGAAGTACGGAAGTCATTGTATATAAAGAAAAAAATAAAGGGTTTTGTATACCCTTCGTCTGTATCCTGTCTACTTACTACAATTAGTGAACATAGCTTTAGTAAGCTCTCTGTTCTAGTCAGGTCATTGTATGTTTCCGAAGAAGTTAGAAGAAACATTGAACTGATAAAGTTCGGTAATTTGTAGGGAAAAGGAAATAAAAAATTTAGCTGTTAAAAATTTGCTGTTATTTGCATGATCCTAAGTAAAGTGCTTTTTATGTGAATAAAATACAAAACAATTCTGTATATTCTCAATTCATATGTAAACAGGTAAAAAAAAAATTTAATACTCAAAGTTATGTACAACGTGAAACTTTCAACAAAGATTTAAATTGCAACATATTATCCAATTAAACAGACAGATTCTGCTATATTTAATGAGTATATATTGCACAATTTATACACTAATTTTCAAAAATAAATATGAAAAAGCACAGAAAATATCAATTTAATTTATCAATTTTTTCAATAAAATTTTATAGCATTCATATAAAATTATATAAAAAAAAAGATTAAAGGTTAACAACAGAAAATTTATGCTAAAATATACCAAATATTTCATAATTTTTAATTATTTAAAAATATTTTATGAAAAAGTAGAATTGAATTCACATAAGGAAATATTTTTAAAAATCATGTCAGTTTTTGTTTTGGTCATTGATAAAAAAAGTCTTTCATTTAAAAACTCATAAATGGATGACCTTATTCTTCACTAATTCCAAAATATTCAAACTGTTTATCTAACTAGATATTCATTTATTATTTATTTAAAAGAAAATAAAGCTTTATTAATTATAGCTTTAGATGTGCACCATATTTTGTTCAAAGATACTGGAATTAGAAATTCCCATTAATTCACAAGCATTACAGACATATTTTATGTTACATATATATAAATACAAGCACCCTTGCTTAGCATATTTTTGGAATCAATAGATGAAGATTGGTTCCTGTAAATGTGCAGTAAGTGCATGAGGTAGGTGACCAGTAGTGCTCTTTAAAAGAATAAAATATAATACAGTTAGAAAACCAAAAATTCATATAACCTGTGAACTGAAGGTCTGTGAATTTTTTTATATAAATTTCAGGTCATGAATAAAAAATCAGAAGCTTTATCTTAAAAAGATTTAAAATTACATTAAATTAAAAAAAATCAGATAAAAGCAATTAATTCCTTTTGATATTTTTATAGAGGAATATACGTTGAATATAATTTTATATTAAAAAAAAAAAGGATACTTTTTCATTTTGCCGGCGCAAGCAATAAAGTCGCCAAAAATGGTACAACCAATACCAAACAGAATATCCTCCCTGGTAACCTTTTACGCCTCATTTTCAAAACTGGCATATAATTACATAGAATGTTTACCACATAACCTATAGGCATAAAAGGTTTTTACCACATAACCTTTTATGCCCCAAGGCCATTCGTGATAATTAAGCCAATTAGGATGCAATCACACTGCTCACCCGAAGGTGAAAATATGGAAAAGGAAAAGTCAAGGGTTAAATTCATCAATTCTAATGAGAATACACTTGTGAAGTAAAGCACTGCAGTTTTACATAATTTCTGAGTAAGCTATTCATAAGAATTAAATGCAATTGCATTTAAACTTCTATTCCATATTAAGATTTAACTTTTAACTTGAAATTAATGTAGATAATTACTGAGAGAATCAGATTTTTGTAGCGTAGTTTACGTGAGATGAGACCACTTGGGGTCACATGATATGAAACGGTGAATTAGAATGTTGTTCCATGAAAGCATAGTAAATTAATGTTTTTTTTTACAAATTTATTGTCATTTTACAAAATTTTAAATGATATTAAAATGTTATGTCTTCAAAATAAAAATTTCTTAAGACTAACATATGTTAACATTTTTTATGTGTATACTGTGTGTTGTCGCCAATAAAGTCTGCTTGGCGAGATTTGCGTGGGCAAAAAAAAAAAAAAAAAAAAAAAACCCTATCTTTTACATTCTTGAACTTTAGAATATTTTCCTGGGATCCAAATTATATACAGCCATTATTTTCTGCTTAGTACAATGAAACTTACCTGTTTTTATCATATCAATAAAAAAAAAAAAAATTTCACTTCAGTATATCTTTCCAATTAACAAATATTGGTTTGTTTTGTTATGGCAAAGTACATGAGGGCTATCTGTTTAAAGAGGAAGATGCCTTTGTGAAGGACTTTCCAAGGGAAACTGGCTCATATCCATGCCATGGGGAGCGAGCCTCTTTTTGGTTCAAATCAGTGCAGCGAGCCTGTTTATCTGGAATTCAAACCCAAGTTCAACTACCAGTGTTTGCTAGAGGTAATAGTGAGAGATGAGCATCACTGAATGCATGTTGTTGCCAAATTGCATCAATTGATATATAAACAACTTATTAAATATGGTAAAACAAGAAATATTTTCAAAAAATATTTTCCCTTGTTTGACAAACCTTATTAATAACATATGCTTTTAATGCTAAAATAAAAAGTTAGAGTGTAGCTTAATTAAATGATGCAAAAAAGCTAAGGATATATTAATGATCATGAGATATTCAAGAGAGAATAATATATGAAATTTTCAAAAATGAAACTGCAAACTCAGAAAAACTTGACACAAATTGCAAAAAATATTATCATAGCATCATTTCATAATCTATTTGAAGATATTTCTGACATTGAAATCAAGAAATAATTTTATTTTGCAAGCACATGCCTCCAAAGAATTTCATTGTAAAAGGGCTAAAAAACATACCTCTTGTTATAAAGTATCAAAAAATCAAAATTTTCACATTTTAATGCTTAAATAAATTTCTGTTTCATAACAACCAGTGTTTTCTATTAATAGTCAAATCTTTCTAAACAGCTGTTTGAATAAATATCTATCAAGTCTTAAAATATTCCTAATCTATTAAAATGTAATAAACTAAAAGAAGCCATCATAATAATAAACATTTTTACATTATAAGTGACTTCCGATATTCTATCCATCAGAATTATTTTATATATTATGTAATTAGAAAATCAATGAAAAAGTATCATTGCCAATAGTAAATTTACTGTATCATAGTTTTAATATGGTTTATGACTGTAAAATAAGCCTGCATGATGTAAATATTTATTCAGAAGCTGAAAGCTTAATGTTAACAGTTAAGAAATATATCCCTTTATACAAAAATAAACCTTTTCATGATGAGAATTTTTATAACCTTAACAATGAATCCTGCCAATGACATAAAAAATAATGAATTTCACTTTTAAAAGATTTTAAGATATCCTGAAACATTTTATTAACAAGCAATATTTTGTAATGCATAAGCATAGCTTTCAACCATGAAATATGAAAAAGTGGGAGTTTCTGGAACGGTTTCGAACTGCACAGTTATACAATTTCAGTAAAACTCCAAACTGACTTTATAATGCAAAATTCTGGTTATTCAAATACTTAACATTTAAGAAATGATTTTATTTTGCAACCACATGCCTCCAAAGAAATTCATTGTAAAAGGAGGAAACTCTTGTTATAAAATATCAAAAAATCAAGTTTTTCACATTTTAATACTTAAGTAAATATTAGTTTGATGTAAAATATATTTAAAATTTAATTAGATATTTTTAATTTTATGTTTTTTCATTAACTTTATTTTGCAATTTTCTTACATTTTTAAACTGACCAAATCTTGATTAGGGAAGAAAAGCTTTAATTTATCAAAGTACTTTTACACGAGTTGAAAATAATAAATAATTTACAGACTATTAGGTGGGTAAACCTGATAATGTACTGCATATTGATGCAAAACAAAATTAAAAAATACAAATATTTAACTGATATTTACTGATTAGTATTAGTATATATATTTACTGATTCATATTAGTTGAATCTTCATATGAAGTTTTACAAATGTCTAGAAAAGACAATTCATGTGAAAATTTGAAATTAAATACAAAAATTAATGCTGAAAATCATAACAATAGAGGATTAAAATTTGCTCAAGTTTAATTGAATACTGGAAAACACTTTCATAAGTAAGGTTAAAAACCAGGAGATTGGTGATTTGCCAGGAAACCAAATGAAAAACAAGTTTTCTAGCAGTCTCTTGGTAAAACCAGAGATTTGGCAGCTATGCCCAGGTAACTTCTTAATGAAGTTTCAAAATTTCATCAAAATTATTAAAATGTTTTACTCCACACTAAGTTACACTTTTATTACAGAAACTCAAAGCAGTTAAAAAAGTATAAAATATTCTCTAAAATATAACTTTGATATACATAAAATGCATAAGAACCTTCATTCATTTTAAATAGATGCACTCTTTCTCTTAAATATGAATAGATTCTTAATTTAGCAAATCCTAGTTTTAAACATCTAGCAAAGAGCATTTGAGCAATATAATATACAACTTATGAAAAATCATGCTTTATTTTTCACTGCAAACAAGTTTAACAACAGTGTACAAAAGTGTTCATAGAAAGTAACCTGTACAGAATTAATGTAGTCAATGTTAATCCATAACAAACATTGGCACGCTTATTTTTGTCATAATGGAAAATGTCTTAAAAAATCTAAAATAGAGCTAAGAAATATGAGTTCATAAATTAAATTTTCATTAACATCCCAAATTAAAATCATGAACATTAAAATCACATGAAAAGTATTTGCAAACATCATCTACATATTATATAACATGCAACACGTACCATGCACTATTTCATAGGCTCCCTGGATTAACATGATAATGGTTACAATATTACTCCAGATATAAAATGCCTTTAAAGTCAATACAAATGATAAATATTTTTTACATAAAATAATTTACTGCAGTCAATACTAAAATGCAGTCATTTTTATTTAAATTAATTCACTTTGGAAATAGCACATTTAGGCACATGCTCACAAAGCACTTGCAGTTTCTCCAGTACACTTTGGTGGTTTAAAATTGTTGATCCAAAAAATTGTGACTAAATTGTTTCCACTAATTTATGTTGACTGTTACCTGCGATAGCGTTGGCTTTCTCGTTCATTTTCATGACTAGAATATCTCCTGTGGATCAAAAGGGAAATTTATATTAGTTTTTTTTTTATTTATTATTATTATTATTTTTTATTTTGCTATAAAAAATAAATTTATCTACAGCAATTTATTCTTCATTTGAGATTTAAAAAAAAAATGTACTCATTTTAGAGCTAAAGAAGCCATAGTCTATTATTCAAGTAATGCAATTACTTTTCTGAATTTAAAGTATGGAAAAGCATGTGAAAAGTAAACTCAAGGTTCCCAGTGAAATTTTAATTTCCTTAATTTTCCATGACTAAATGGAACAATTTTCCTGACTGCATAACTAGTTACTGAAGTAAATACGAGTACATGAATAATTTTACATATTTATTACAAAATACATTACAATAGCTGTGAACATTATAAAAATAATTTACCGTCTTTATTACTGTGAGGCAAATGAAAGAAATACATATAAAAGAAACTATGCATTTAAACCATTTAAAAAATAAACAGGATTTTTTATGAAGAGAATCGAATTCTGAAGAAAAATATTCATTTTGCAAAAGAAATTAGTAACACCTCACTCATAATAAATATTACTCTTCTCCAGCTTCAATGAGAAGCATGAAAATATCACAAGCTTGATAAAAATGTTTAAATATAACTAATGATTAATGTACAACTACACAGTGTAATGATTTCTTATTTGTACTATTTATTTTTAAAGAGCAATTGTAGTCCTAAAAAGAGGGATAAAAAAGTTACATTTTTAAAAATGGTGCAGAACAGATCTCATTAACATGTAGTGAAGATCTCCTATCTGATAAAGTTGTATTAGATAATTGTTCCTAAAACATTTTTCATTTCCATGTGAATTGAAACCCTACAAATTGTGCCACTTAAGGGTTAAATATTTTAAATTGCATACTACAGTCAAAAGTCATTAATTTGGACACCCATAATCCGGAATGATCTATAATCCGGACCTCAAAGCTACAAACTTTCTGCGCATGCATCAGCGAAAGACCTTTGCGGCTGTGAATATGCGTGTGTGTGCGCGCAAAATACGTTTACGAATGTGTGTTTAATGTATAACGGACGATATAAGCTAAGCTAAAATTATCTAATTCAGTTAATGTTGCAGATTGTGTTGTTCCTTAATCTTCGAATTGGATTCGGCTTATTATTTTTTGCAGACTGTCGGAGCAATTTTAAAAAAGTAAGCTTGAACTTTCGATTATGTCAAATAGAATTTCTGATATATATTTACTAATATGCCAAAGGATCTACAAAGCGAAAGCATGTTTCCATGTCCCTCAGACAAAAAGTGGAATTGCTGCAAAAAATGGATAAAGGCATATCGTTTTTTTATCTAACCATTCCAAAATCTGTTTATCAATTTCACGCTGCTCTGCGGTGGTGGGCGGAAACGTCGCGGAGCATGCAATGAACTTGGAAAGTTGATCTGTCAGCACTATCCCTTATCTTCAGGACAGATGTTTTTATTTTATTTGGCTTATAATTCCTTGCTAAATGTAGTATTTCAACTCGATGTACTCTGATATGATTTAAATCAAATTCCTCCTCATTATAATTCGTTTCCGATAGCGAAGAAAGTAACAAAGGTTATTGAAAACGAAAAAATTTCGATTGACAAATTAGTCGGTATTCTCGACACAGCAATCATAGGACTTGAACAGTGGAACTTTGTAACCGAACAAGAAATTATGTCTGTTTATAGAATTAAAGAGAATGTATTATCACATAAAAAACAAAGCAACTTGAACAATTTACATTGAAAGAAATGTTTAATTAAGTAAACAAATAAATATTAAGCTTTTTTTTTTTTTTTTTTTTTTTTGGGTAAATTTTGATACCCTTTATATCATAATTGTTCTTTATTTCATAAATTATGGTTTCATATTTTTAATTTTATAATTTCTGCATGCCATCTTACCAGATTTAAACTGATGATCTATAATCCGGAATTGCCGAAGTCCCGACGAGTCCGGATTAATGACTATTGACTGTAATACATTTCTTTAAAAGCACAAATGATCTTATGTATACATACAATATTATAAACTACCTAATCTGGATCTTCCCCTTGTGTTTTTTAATTTTACATTTTAACCTTCTACATTTCAGAAATGTCTAATAACTGTCTCTACCACAATAGAGAGTGGTGCCTGAAATTCATGTCTGATGTGGAGAAGTAAACAATGATGCCAAACAAGCATCTGATGACATTAATGTTCAGAAAAGTGAATTCAAACAATATTAATAAAAATTATAAGGGAAAAAAAGAAATCCAAATCTTCTAGCTGTGATTAAGGCGTCCCCTTTCTTTGTTTCAGAAAGCCATAAACTGCCCAGTCATTTAAGTTACTCGTATTTGGCAGGCAACTCTTATTCTTTTGTTATTTCAATATACTTGAAGCAGTAAATTAAACATATGCTCATTATTAATTAATTAATTTCTAACTTTCCATACTAAAATCTCACAATTTTTGCAGATTGTCAGGTTTATTTTATACAATGATACATACTGAAATTGCATGGTTTGTATAACATTTGAATTAAAAATGCTAGTGATAAATGCATTATTAATCAGAATTAAAAACAATTATATTCTAAGACTGAATACGTGGCAAGTTACTATACTGGCAGGAAAAATTAAAGGAACAATTATAAAAAGGTGCTCTATGTTAATTCTACTATGTGAAGTCTACAGAAAGGAAGGTGTACATAGGTTGTTTGTTTTTTCAACCTCCGATCACATAGTATGATGGCCAAGTATGCGGCAGGTGGTTGGTGTGCGTAGTAGGCAACTGCGCATCTCCTCCTCCACAGATCACTATTGATAATGTCGATATTGATTCTCTCAGCAAGTGTGAATTGCGAGCTGTTATTCATTTCTTGCAGGCAGAAGGGAACAGTGCAGCGGAAATTCATCGAAGAATGAGTCGAGTGTATGAAAACAGCTTTATGAGTGATGGCGTTGTTCGTGAATGGTGTCGAAAGTTTAAAGATGGCTGAACTGATGTGCATGATAAAGGGCGTCAAGGACGCAAGTCTGTCGCTACGAGACGACATTGCTCAACGAGTTGACCAAGCGGTTAAGCAAAATCGAAGGTTTACCATAAGTGAATTATCGATGAAATTTCCGGAAGTTTCAAGATCTTTCCCTGTACTCTATCGTACTGAACAGTTGCGCTACAGAAAGTTTGCGCTCGCTGGGTCCCACAGATGTTGACTGACGACCACAAAACTCGCCGAATGGTTGCAGCGTTTGAGTTTCTTGATCGTTACAATACTGACGGAAAAGAGTTTTTGAAATCCATTGTGACAGGTGATGAGACACGGGTTCAGTATGACATGCCCGAAACGAAACGACAAGCACAACTATGGATGCACACAAATTCTCCAAAGAGACCCACAAAATTCAAACGATCCTTTAACAACCGTAAGGTTATGGAAGTTTTTTAGGACCAAAAAGGTGTGTTGCTTGTGGAGTTTATGCAACCTGGAACAACCATTAATGCAGATTCATATTGTGAAACTTTGCGACACTTACGGAAAGCTATTCGAAACAAACGAAGACGTATGCTGACTTCTGGAATTGTTCTGATCCACGACAATGCCCGTCCTCACAGCGCTCATGTAACCCAACGGCTCCTTCAGCAATTTCAATGAGACATTTTCGAACATCCACCATATAGTCCCGACCTAGTGCCGAGTGACTTTCATCTGTTCTCTGAACCGAAGAAGCACTGGCTTGGCGGAAAGCGCTTCCAAAATGACATAGAGCTGAAAGAAACCATCACAACTCACTTCCAATCATTGGCGGGGACATTTTATGAAGAGGGTATTGAAAAGCTTGTTCACAGATATGACAAATGCCTCAATCCTCAAGGTGATTATGTAGAGAAATAACCTGTATTGTACATTACTTTTGGTAATAAAATCTTTTTTGTATATTCACCCGTCTTAGTTAGCAGTTCAGTATCATCAATGAGATTCACCTTCTACAGAGAAATAAGCATATTTTGAGTCCACTCTTTCAGCATATGTGGAAAGAACAAGAAGGGGTTGCTTCAGATTTATATTTGAGATGCTGGATAAAATTTTCATATGTGGAAGGGGAACATATTATTGAAAAAGGCATCCGATGGATTGTGAGAAAAGGCATGTTACAAGAATGGAAGAAGGAATGATATTGACACAGCTCTGTAGACAACTAAAAGTTGCCAAATGCTTGAAAGTCAAGAATCTGGAAACTGTTTAAAGATGTTGGCAATGTATGCTAATAATTAGATCAAGGTAAAAAATATGCCCCAACGAAATCATTATTTAGCAATGATCGTTGAAAAAAAATACACTACTGATATCATCACAGACTGTAACAGAATTCACTGCAGCTACAGGGTACAACTACCCAGATGTGCAGCAAATGACAGGCTGCATCAAAGAGGGCTGTGTGCAAAGAAACCCATGATTTGTGCCTCATGAACTCAGGCTCTGAAATGCACATGGTGCAGTAGTGCAGTGATCATTGTAATTGGATTACAAGACATACAGCAGAGTTACCCTTACTGATGAATCTCATTTTTGTTACAAAAGCAATTCCAGATGTGTTACAATCTGGAAGAAGCAAAACATGAAGTAAGCCTGACTACTTTCCACAAAGGGAATCGATGAAAGTTGGCAGAATTATGGTAAGAATGGGCATCATTTTGAATGGCCAGACTGACCATTTTTGACATTCATAGTTGCATTTTTATCAATGCAACTATGAATGTCAAAATATACAGAGATGGGTTCTTGAGTTTTATGACTTCAAATGTTTTAGGAGGCAATCAATAATAATATTCTTTTAATATGCAATAATGCTTAACCCCATTGGGTTGCACTAGTGACCAATTACCTTAAGGACAAAAGAATCTAACTGGAGTAGATTACATATTCTCTAGATATAAATTTGACAGAACATGAGTGGAACACATTATTACACTGATGTAGCACTCTCCAAAAGTTCTAAAGTTCCATTTATTATAGATACACTTTGTTACCCCAGGAGCTCCTGAACAATATAATACAGTAAATGGTAAATTGCTGTAGAGCTTAAATTTTGGTTTGAGGTGATCACACTTATTATTATTATTTTTTTTTTTTAATGTTTAAAAAGTTGTAACCCAACAACTCAACCTACCCTAGCTTATATCACATTTTCTATGTTCTTATTTACAATTATTTTTTGCAGAAATAATTATTTCCAGATTTTCAAGATTTGGAAAGGCACGATAAAGATCTTGTGCAAATTCTGTTCTTAGCAACAAAATCATTTAAGCTACACATTCATTTTTATCACTGTTCCTTTAACTGTTTTCATCACTTAAATTCACAAGTTCATTATTTATAAACAAAACTTAAAAATAACATTATTCTTAGTAACAAAAGTTTCTCAATTTGAAATAATTGTCTAATTAGTCTAAATTACTTAAGAGGACTTAACTACAGAAAAAGCATGTAATTCTGCATTATGCCTCATACAGGCTTCTTTTCAAAAGACTGAAAATTTCATTTCATACATTTAGTATAGAGAATTTTTCTTTGTTTAAAATACAGTATACAGCTCCTTTTAATATATTTCAAATATTAACCAAATTTTTCTTCCATTCTGTAATTTATTATTTGAAGATATTTTGCAGTAATACATCTGAAAGAGATTCATAAAGATAATTTTAAGTTTTCTACTGGTCAAACTCTGGTAATTATTCAATATGTCACAGAAATAAAGGAAGAGAGAAAAACAAAAAGAAAAAACAGTGTTTGGAAAACCACACACTCGCCTGCTAATAACAAGGAGTAGCAATCGGGCATGTGGCCTATGCATCACAGCCTAGTCATGCTCACATTCAGTGAATCATCAGCTATCAAATTACACATAGGACATCCAAAGTTCTGACATCTTTAACCCTTACAAAAGAGAACAATCATCTTTTTACTTGCAGACTGAACCCAATAGACATCAGATGTTAAAGCATTAAATACTATTTCTAAAAAGGATGTGTGTACAGCACCTTTTTCTCTTACGATCACTAATGCTTTCTTTCCCCGAGTCATCACTTTCAGAACTTGAACAGCAAGATGATTCATATGACGATGAGGAGGAACTAGATCCACTTGAACTGTCAGATGCAACTCCTGTTTTAGAATTCACATCAATACGATCAGCAATAGCTACCAATTCAGGCCTTTTTTCCTGCATAAAAATTAATCTGTAATTCAAACTGTCAGTAAAATAAATATGTGACATATTAAATAACTGAAAACTTACAATATTGTTGAAATGGAAGAACAGCCTGCAATGCTTACACTAAAATATATTATTAAACACAGAATCCAAAAATAATAATTTGGATATTTAATTGTCTAAAACAGTGTATGTATACATTTAAAATTATGAGTTATTGAGTATTTTAGCTATTGAAATTTCATATAATTAGAAACTTGCATAATATAGCACCTGTGAAAAAGGTATATATACACTGGTCGTCAAAATTAAAGGATAATGAGAAAACACGTGCTCACTAAGCAATCAATGCCCAATGCTCTAAAATGTTACATAAATACTACTGAACACAAAATTGCATTTCTGTGCATATGTTTGTGCCGGAAAAGTGCAAATTTGATGATTGAGAATGTGGTGCGCCATGGAAGCATGTTGGAATTCTGATCTTTAATATTGTTAAAAGTGAATGTGGTTTCTGACAGTGATCAATATTCAAGTAGTTATAGCACAAAGGCATCATTTAAGTGATGGTCAAAAGTGGCGAATGATTGGTAGAATCGAGAAAGGTCAAACACAAATGGCAGATGTCCAAGATTTGAATCTCTCTCAAAGTGTCATATCAATAGTTTGAAGTTGCTTTTTAAGCACTGGATCAGTTGATAGATAGCCTAATAAAGTGTGAGCAAGAACCGCATCAGAAGACTTCTGTCATTGTCAGCTCGGAGAAGCCATGAAGTGGCTACAGGAGATTTGGTTTTAGACCTTCAGGCTGCCACAGGAGCTCGAATTAGCTGTTCTACTGCTGTATGAAGGCTTCATGAGATTGGACTGTATTCAAGAAAACCAATGGTTTGTGTCTCAGTCAATCAATCCAGCTTCTAGAAGGACCCATTTAAACTGGTGCCATCGTAATGTTCAATGCAGCTGCAGTGACTGGACCCGAGTATTGTTTACTGACAAATCCAGATACATGAACAGTGATTTCAGATATGTTTCGATCTAGAGAGAGAGAAAGGATCTGCAACCACAGTTTAATGGTTTGGAGAGGAATCATGACAAATAGCCACACCAAGCTGCATATCTTTCAAGGAGATTCTGCGACTGCTGTGAGTATGAAGAAAAGGTATTGGAACCCCCAAGTTAGACTGTTTAGGGATGTCTGTTGGCCCTGTTTTTGATAATGGATGACAATGCTTGGCCTCACCAAGCATATATGGTGTCAGAATACTTGCAAACAGAAGATATTACTCGAATGGACTGCCCACCTTACTCACCTGACTTGAAAGCCGACTGAGCATGTGTGGGATGCCTCAGGGCACCTTAGCACACTTAATTCTTCTTGCACTTTCCAGGAAATGAAAAGTGTATTTTCAGAAGAGTGGTGTGCAACTCCACAAGACTTCATCAACACTTTGGCAAAGTCTATAAAGGCAAGATGTGAGGTATGCATATCTGTCTAAGGTGACCGTACAACATATTAAAGAAAAAAATTTTCCACAAGAGGCGATTTAATTTTTCTATCATTTGCCAATTTCCATAAATTTGATCATAATAATTTCAATATTTTGTGCATAATCAACTGCCAAACATTGTAATTAATATTAACGAATGCTTTTATAGGCATTTCTACCAATAATTTTTCATTAAGTATCAGTTACATTTTATTTCTATTATTAGCCTTTAATTTTGATGACTAGTGTAATATATGCTTAAAAAAAAAAGGAATGAATAGCATGAAATACAATTCTTACAGATTTATTTAATGCATTATAGCAATTTGACCTTTTAATAGTGTGGGTCAAGGTTGAATATATTCATCTTATACATATCACCAAATTGGTCAAAAGTCATAGATATTTTTATTTTGCTTTTATAATATGGATGTTACCTTCCTTGCACAGCATCTTCTCAAAATTCTGCAAATACCTTAATAATAAATTCCTGAACAGCTTATATCTAAAAATGCTTATATTTTAAACAGCAATATTAGTTTATGAATAATATTAATGAAGGATTACATAGCACTTTCAAAGTCTATTATTGTTGTGTGTATAATTTACTCATTAAAATGACCAATGACAAAACTGAAGTGTTTTTCAATGATCTGAATAAATATAAAAGTTAAAATCATAGCTGTACATTAATTAAAACAGGGAAATTAAAAACAGGCATTTATTGTAAGATGAAGAAACACATATCAATATTTGCTATTTTCTGATTATTCACATCCCCAAAGAAAGCTGCAAATTCACTGATGACTATAAACTAACCAAACCACTTGTTTGGCTATCTTAACAACAAAAAAACAAAAATCTCAACATATATTTTACAGTCAGTGGATACTATTCAGTTAAATATACAGTGTATAAACCTACATGTACTCCAAAACTTCCGAGCAACACATAAGCATGGGTTAGCTATTCACTTGTGTACACTAAAAAATATGCCTAAAACAGAGCAATTCTGTCAAACGTTGAAAATGGGGTAGGAATAATTAGAAAGTATGTAGTATTTTAACCTCAAGATTTTAAACACATAATTAAATGTGGGTACCAAATTATTCAGCCATAAATGAGATGCAGTCAAAAATTTGTAATATGAAGATAATATTCTTTATATTTTAACAATATTAAAAAAAAATTAATATACTAAAGTTTATTGGTACATAGAGCAATAATTTATGATGTCACTGAAAATCTGATATTAATCCCCCGATGATTTAAAAGCATAGTAAGTTAAAGTTTATTGAAGAAAAATATCTCCTTCTCAATGGTTTTGAAGTTATAACTATCTTAATATCAGTAAATTTCTGTATTTACTTTTATCTTAAACAAAATAACTTCAGTGTTGAGATATATATTAAGAATCTTATAATAGATTCTTCAATCAGTTTCAAACATACAAGTCAAATATATAAATTTTTTAATAAAAGCTTAACCTGGAAATGACAGTAATAAAAGTTCTATAAAAGCTAATAAAGCTATGCTAATTAGAGTACATATAGTTTATTGGTACAAATGTACTAATAAAGCATATAATCTAATGAAATTTTGCTAAAAGTATTGTATGCCACTGAAATGTTAATAAAAAAATTACACATCAGACTTACTCTTAAAATCCTATACCATTTTCTAGAAAGCTTTGGTCTCCCTCGAACAGTCTTGTGCCAAACTATTGGAAAATTTGTGAGGCTACAAAAGTTCTGTGTAACAGCAATAGTTGTATCCATGTTTAAAACAACATGCCACCAACCACCAGGCACAAATACTGTTTCACCAGGTTTTTGTAAAATTTCAAGCTAAAAAATAAAAAGCAAAATTTACAGGCATTGCAAAACAATATTTACACCTATAATCAACTCCCTCTTCCTTTTATTTTACCATAAAAGAGAAATGCATATTGTATTTCTAACAGAAACACACTCACCCCCCTCAACAAAAACATCAAAAAAAAAAAAAAGAAAAGAAAAGAGAGAGATAGAAAAGTAAATTGCAGTTGATCCCAAAAATATTGTACACAAAAATATCAATTGAAGATTAATTTTTATTTTGTTAGCAGTTTTTGCAACTTTAAAAGAATGTTCCCCAACGACACAATAATATTTTTTTCTTTATCTAACAAAAGTAATCTTTCAGCAGCTTTTCCTCTATTATTATATCTACCAACTTTTAAAAATGAACAAAACTCGATACTTCCATTTAAAAATGGTTCTGTCTGTTAAACACTGATATAAAAAATATAATGTAAAAGGAGAGTAGACAATAAATGAATAATTATATTAAGTGTTACAGAATACAGATACTTAAGGTTTAAAATATGCATCGTTTACAATGCACAGGAATCAAAGCACTGAGAGTTAATGAGTTTTTTTCAACACTCTACTCACAGGTTTACATTCAATAGGCCAACTGGACCTTTGTGTGCGTGGGTATATATATCGGAACCATGTTATTGCTTCATCACCTTGTTTACCTCCTTCTTCTGGACGAACTTTAATCATCTCCTTTGGCGTATGTGTGGGAAAAAGGCACCATCTGTTTAATTTAAATGCACACAATTACTAACTTTACAGACAGACAACTCATTAGTTAAGTCCATAAAAATCTGAATACTACATAAATATTCCATCATTAAACAATTACATCATTAATCATCCACATAAATATTACAGACAATAAGCAATTTCCATCATTAAAAAATGAAAAATCTATATGTGTACTCATCAAACTGTGGAAAGATGACAGCACCAACAGTCACCAAATTTTGAGCACGCAAAGTCCTGTACTCAAAGCCCAAATTTTAAGCCAAATTTGTTTTTTTTGAATTATTTAAGCTTTGTACAAACTTATTTTTGATTAAAAAATTCAGGAATCTGAAAACAATGTCTTGACAGTGCCCACAATATAATTTTTATATTTAACATCTATCTGGTGTCATGCCATTCAACACAGCTTAAAATATTTATTGTTCAAATTTACTCAATAAACTTAGTTATTTAAAAGCAGTCATGGACACTTCAGCAATAAGACACTCTGTCCACAGCAGTTGGCTAAAAAGACATTTAGCCAACACAGGCATTTAGATGGCAGGACACTTAGCTAACAGATCACTTAACTGACAGCTACATTTATTACAGTAAGGTAAATTTAGCCGACACTACATTTAACTGATACAGACATTTCGCTGACACTACATTTAACTGACAGTGCAATAATAGCTGACCATGCATACAGATAGATAAAACAAAATGCCACAATATTTTAGTAAAATTTGTCCACATTTATCTGACAAAAGGATATTTCCAGAGTACACAACAAAATGGCTTATGGATAGGTACCACATTTTTGTCTTTAACCCTCTGAGCGGCCAGGGTTTTTGCTAATAAAGCACAAGTTTCCCAAAATTACTATGAGAACAAATTATTATTTTTTTATTTTAATGTAAAAACTCTCCTGGTATTTCATACCTGGATTTATTTTCTTCTGATATATTTCCTTAATTTATTTGACATATTTTAATATGTAGGTATATATACATTCTTACAGATATCACAAAAAATATTCTAGGCCGTATATATACGGCCTTGCTGCTTAGACAGTTAAGAGAGTCGAGAGTCTGTGGATTTTTTAACAGAAAAGTAACCCCATTTAGGCGAAGATTTTTTAAATCAATTTCGAGAACAATTACACATTGGAATGAAACGATTTTATATGGAAAGAAATGAGTGCAGCAAAGTGAAAGCAAACGTAATCTATCATGGAAAATAGTAGATCAAAAGTCAAAAATTATGATTTAACATCTAATTGTGATTAGCTGACATAATTTTGTTTGTTTCTCCTTTTCGAACCTATGATGAATGTTCCCTAACAATATGTTTCAATGCTCTTTCAGTTTGTGGATATATGACAAACTGTGTTAAGTCAAAATTCCACAAGATAGGTAATAAACCATATTTTAAAATTTTACAAGAATTGAAACCAGGGCTGGAATCTTTAAGAATTAAACAAAAAAATTTATTGATGGTTGCAAAGATAACCTAAATACTCACTTGGAATCCTGCAACTAAATTGAGCAATTTTATAACTAAAAGAGAGATGAAACATTATGACAAGAAGATTGTTATGATTATTTACAGCTGAAGGTCATTTATGAGAGCAAGAGGAATATTTTGGAAAAGCTTCATCACTGTCTGTGGCAGAAAACCGTCTCAATGGAAACTTATTTCAAATGATTAGTTTCTTGAATAGCAAGTATTCTGAAAAGTAAATTTTGGGAGCACGATACAGGTAATATTAGAAAAGAGATATTCAGTTGACAGTGTGATAAGATTTGCATGAAAAAGCAAACAAAGAGAAACAAATTTGTGTACAAATTTGTAACAGGGTTGCCACTCCAAGAGGAGAATGAAATTCCCTGACTTTTCCAGGTTTTCCAGGTATGTTTCGAGAAAATTCTAGTCTATCCGCGTAATGTACGTTGGCTCTGCTAAGAGGTAAATTAATTATGGTATTACTTGTACTGTGTAGCAAATTCACTTAATTATTCAATAAATCCCAGAGGACATTTATTCTTAATTATACTTGGTACACTTTGTTTGATAATTTTGTTTACTTTTCCACTTAAAAACTTAATAAATTTTAAGATATATACATTGGATAACAAATGTACGTTTTATTTAATTATTACTCATGATCATCCTCAGTTCAACACGAGGCTAATCCGGTTCTTATAAATCACAACAATGCAATGCTAAAAGTTAGGTTAGATTTTAGGTAAATTTATTTGTGTGAGGTGTATTCTTAAAAAGGCACCTTAACACTTGAAAACACAAATATAATTATAATAGGATTTGTTTTCTCCACTGAAGATTGAAATTAGAATCTGCCCAATCTGGAATAAAATAAGGCTTTTTTTTTGCAGACATTCTGCAGCTAAACAAAAGAAAGAAATCTATTTAATGATTTTTTTTACTAAATTGAGGTATTTTATATTTATTTCGCAGCATACATAAGGAAAAAATATGTGCATTAAATTTCGTGATGTCATCGTACTGCTAGAATTAATTTCAGGATTATTCCAGAGAAAATTTCCTGAAATTTGGAAAGATTATTTACTAATGATAAATAAATTTAGAGGGAAGAAGCAACATTAAATGATATGAATAACATAAAAATAAATATAATTACTTAAAAATTTAATTAGAATAATCAACGATATTTTAGCGAATATGGTTATCCTAGATGATTTATTACTATTTTTTATTTTACTGCAAAATGACAAGGTATTTATTAAAAAGAAAAGAAAAAAAAGATTTTGCGGTAAAATCCTAGTATACGATACGAAACTTGCTTTGCCTTTCTAAAAAGGAGTTGCGAAAATTGGCTCTATGCCAGCTGCCAGAATGACACTCACGTGATACACAATTCGCCAAAAAAGTTATCTCTTCCGACGTCGGCGCAAAACTCGCCTTTTTTGGCGGGATCGTTGTATGAAATTCCCTGACTTTTCCAGATTTTGACTAAAACACTTAAATTCCCTGACTTTTCCCTGAATTTTTTGGTCAATTTATGAATTCCCTGACTTTTTCCGGTTTTCCAGGTAGCGTGGCAACCCTGTTGTAAACAATTTTGTTTCTAAACCAAGAATTATGTCCAATATGTGAAACATTTGAAGTCGAATTGGCAATTTCTACTTCCTGAAAATGAAAGTTGTCTAGTAAATGGAGATCCCCCCTTTTTTAAATTGAAACATGCCTATAAATAATGAAATGTAATATTCCTTAGGCTTTTATGTAAATAGGATTTTAAGTAATAAGTTACAAAATTTTTTACTGAAATATGAGTTCAGTTCAACCCCGATGAATTTAATGAAATATGAGGCAAGTGCCATCAATGAAAAATCAAATGTATCATTCATAGTTATTACTGTGAAATAGGATGTTTAACACTGAAGAATTTCAAATAATATTTATGGGTATTTTACAGAAAAGAGTTCTACTTTTACTTCATACACTGCTACATCTCTTATGTTTTGCTGTTGAAACAAAGCAATTGTTAAAAAAATAAATAGTTCCATTTTGCAGTTATCCCATCTTTGATTTTTATTTTCTATGAATCATGTCTATGAGGTCTACGAATCATGCTTATTATGTCTATGAGGTTTGACATAGATCCACTAAACTGAAAGAGTGGTGAAATTTCTCTTTAAGGAACATAAATCATATGTTTGGAAGGAGAAATAAAGAAATTTTTAGTACCTAATCACAATTAGACACTTAATCATGATTTTGATTTTGTATCTACAAAAATTACACAGAGAGCTTCTCAAGTAAACTGTACTTTTTTTAACTCTTTGACATAATGACAATCTTTCAAACCATTTCAAAATTCTAATACAACAGCTTGTTCACGTTTCATTATTATTTTCCTCGATAGACTGCACATGTTTTCGCATTGCTCTACTAATTTCTTTCCACATAAAATCATTTCGCACCTATCTCTGGAAATGGATTTCAAAATCTTTGCCAAAATGAAGTTGCTTTTCTGTCCATTTTTAAAATTTGGACTTTCTAGCATTATAAAAAAAAAATGTGGTACTTGTCCATAAACCTTCCCATCATGTATCCCTGAAAACAGCCTTTTATCTGATAAATATGAACAAATTTTACTAAAACACTGTTAGATGTTTTCACATAAGCGTTGTAAGCTAACCATGCAGTTAGCTAAATTTGTCGGTTAAATGACTAAATGTTCCTGTCGTATAACTATCCGTGTCTGGTATGTGTCATGGATCCATTTAAAAGCAATTTATTGATACTACATGAAATAAATTCCTTTTATCTTCTACCTAAAGTGTGCTCTCATTTGGCAAAGGATAAGATATCAGTTATCTTCCACATTTAATCTGTTTGTTATTGATTAAAAATTAGGAGATTTAAAGAAATACTGCAGCTCGAATAATTTTTTAAAACCCTTTAATCTGAATGACTTACAGGTAATTTTCTGTTTCGCCGGTCCAAATCTTGCCAAGCAGACTTTATTGGCAACAATACACAGTATACATGTAAAAAAATGTTTACAAATATTAGTTCTAAGAATTTTTTACTTTGAAGATATAAACATTTTAATGTCGTTTCAAATTTTGTAAAAAAGCCAATAAATAAAGACAATAAATTTGTAAAAAGACATTAATTTAAAAATTTACTATACTTTTACGGTACAACATCCTGATCAACGTGATGCAAGGTGTTCTCATCTCATGTAAACTACGCTACAAAAATCTAATTCTCTCAGTAATGATCTACATTAATTTCAAGTTAAATCTTAATATGGAATAGAAGTTTAAATGCAATTCATTTAATTCTTACGAATAGCTTACTCAGAAATTATGTAAAACCGCAGTGCTTTACTTCACAAGTGCGTTCTCATTAGAATTGATGAACTTAATCCTTGACTTTTCCTTTTCTATATTTTCGCAGCGGCTGAGTGGTAAAGTCATTGAACACTGGTAGTTCGGTCCGAAGTTCGAATCCTGCAAACAGGTTGGCTGCATGGGTGTTTTTGGGTTTTCCCCATGTGTAATGTGTATATGAGCCAGTTTCCCTTAGAAAGTCCTCCACGAAGGCATCACTGCCCTTAGGCAGATAGCCCTCGAGGCTTTGCCATAATTAAATGACCTAACCTAACCTATATTTTCGCCATCAGATGAGTGGTGTGATTGCATCCTAATCAATGCAATTACCGCCAGTGAATGGCCATAGGGCATAAAATTGAACTATAAAACTTCTATGCAATTGTATGCCAGTATTGAAAGAAACAATCAATCTGATAAGAAATGGCTGTGGCTTCTTTTGAAAATGAGGAGTAAAAGGTTACCAGCGAGGATATTCCGTTTGGCATCGGTTGTACCATTATTGGCGACTTTATCGTCTGCACCGGCAAAACGGAAAAGTACCGATTTAGTTCTTATATATTTAATTAACACATTCGCTGCCACCAAAATTTATATATCCATCCTCAGAAGCCGAATTAAAAAAAAGTGTTTTAATGATTAAAAACGTTCCTAATATTTTAATAGTAAAGCCAGAAAAAAAGAAAAACCTTTTATTTTCGTGTTTAGTGTAAAAAAATTTCGGACGCTCTAGAGCGTTCAGTGGCACCTCACGTTCAACTATTATCTGTATGCCACTGATGCTCTGGCGCGTCTCATCATTTTCTGCGAAATTATTGACACATTATATAAGTCACAGTTTAAAAGAAATAAAACGTTTAATTGGATAAAGAGAAGTGAAATTTATGAAAAATTATAAAATGTAACAGTAAAACATAAATATGTATAAATGTAAATGTAAGATTATAAAAGTAACAAATATTGTATAATATACATAAACAACATAATAGAAAATGAAAAAAAAAATTAAACTTATTACAAACAAAATGTCAGTGTAGAACAGTACTACTGCATAAATATATTATCACTTATGGTATATTTCACAGCAATTCAAGCAATATCCTGGCTTGTCGGGACGTCACGGCACTCATACGTAGTGTCCGTGCATTTGCCTTGAGAGGAACAAGATGTACAAACCTTTTCTCTTTGTATTTTGGTTTTACCAGGTGCAAGTTCTCTTTTTTCTGAAGAGTATGTCTGAGATTCTTGGAGTCGGCTTTTGTTCGTCTGTTGATGGCAAAAGTGATTTTACAACAAAGTTCAGTCGGTACTCGTAAAGTGATATTTTTTTCCGGAATATTTATAAAGGGCATGTTCATTAGCATTACTTCAATAGTATGAAAGAACAATTTTTTATACCAGCGTAGTTGATTTCTCTCCGAGAGATAATATGACAGCATTTGATCTTGCCGATCTACACCAGACATAAATGCATTATATTTGATGATTGGCAGAGGCTTCTGCTTTTTTCATTTCGTTATTTAAAATGTCAACCATTTTCATTTTTGTATTCCAAGAAATATAAGACACTTCACGCTTATCTTTCCATTTTCCTTTCCGATTACTACTCCCTGACAATACCTTTCAATAGTATCGCCTTTTCGCAATTTAGTAGTTGAACATTCTTTGGAGTGTTTTTTTTCGAGTGGTTCTCAATGTGCCTGTGCAGTGTGTCCTTTTTATCTAACAGTAACTTGGCCAAGTCAAAGCTATTATAATAATTGTCCATGAAAACATGGTGACCGACATTTAATTTTTCATTCAGTAAATGCAAAACAATTTTTTGTGTATGGTTTTGCCCTCCATAGTCATCTAAATAACCAGTATACACGGCAGTCTTTTGCACTATTCCACTTGATGTGCTCAAAATATAAAGTTTTATACCGTACTTATGTCTTTTATTTCTTTATGTATTGGCGAAACAATAATCTACCCTCGCCAGAGAACCATAGATTCATCCAAAGAAAGTTCTCTATTAGGATAATATATCTCGCACATTCTTTCGTTAAAAAAATCGATAAACAGGGCGTATTTTATATACCTGTCTGTAGGTTGAGGTTCTCCAGGTTCACTATTTTTTGCAAAATGTAATGCACGTAAAATTAATAAAAACCGATTTCGGCTAATGCTATTTGCAATGCCTGCATTATGAAATAATGGGTCCTTCCATAGTCCTGAAGTCTATTCATTCTTACTGTCCCCATTTGCAAGAATGCTCCCAAAAAAACTAAAAATTCATCCACTTTTAAATCTTTCCAAAGCATTATTCGTGACTTTTCTTTCGTTTTATCGCTATTTTTTGTATTCTATATGTGTAACGATTTGTTTCTTCTTCGACTATTTTTTTTCCAGAAATACTTCAGTGGGGAAAGGCGAAATATCCGATAGGAGTACTTTCAGTTGGCTGTATTAGCAAGGACTCAGATTTTGTAAATGTATGACTTACCATGCAACTTGAATCTGTTTTCCAGTCAAACCTGTCGGATTACCGGTAATTGTTGATCTCTGTGTCAGATCCGACATTTCTAAGTTTATCCACATCGACATCACTATCTCCTTTCCGATTCGCTCGTAGAATCCCAACCGTAATCTTCATCGTCTACGCTGTCATAAATCAGAAAGATCACTCTTTTCTAGTAATTCTAATATTTCGGCATCAGTCAGTTTTTTTACTTACTTTCCTTTTCTAGGCTGTGAAGGTCCTGCAATACTTGTACTGTCTGCCATTTTTAAAAATGCACAAAAAAAATTTAAACAAAAAAACACAAAATTTAAAAACCACGCACGCCCGAAAATATAAAATAACTGCTTCACTAACGTGCCACAAAAACCTCATCATTCAACCTCTAATCCGAACTAAAACTAAAGCAGTTTACTTATCATACTCGATTGTCGCCCCAGAGTGTCACCGGCATGGGAGGTAGCGCCATGCTGACGCGCCAGCGCATCAGTGGCAGCGAATGTGTTAATAAATTTTATACAATTTTGTGGTAAGAAAAATTTTAAGTTGAGAGGCGGGAATTATTTATAAAAGGTTTTTCTGATGCCATATGGTATGCAATATAGAATTCTTTTATGGGGAGTAGGGTGTTAAAACTTTATGGCCTTTTAAATTTTTTCACAGTTAAATTCTTTTTTGAGACGTCATATTGTAATCCAAACACTTTAGATGCAACTGTTCTGCTTAGGTGTATTCATGCTAATAATTTGTAAAGAAATTCTTCAGTATTTATTAGGTTTAATCCATACAGGCTAGTTTACATTTGGTGACATTTTTAAGCTTCTTCTTGATTTTTTCCAATGCTCCCTGAGAAAGATTTGCCACATTTTGCTGCATAGGTTTAGAGAAAAAGAGGAATTTTAAAATTAAAATTATACAAATTATTAATACCTATAGGACTGACTACTCTGTTCCCTATCATCAAATTCTTTAACTAAAATAAATAAATCAACAAAATAAAAGATACTTCAGCTAACATCAGTACTGTCAATATATACTGAAAAATAGAATAACCTACTAAAACTAAGGCAAATATAGTTAAGCAGGTCTGATAGAAAGAAATAATGAGTTATACTTCATTCTTTGTATTTAATTGTTAAACAATAAGATACTTTCATGCTGTAATGAAGTTTTTAAGGAAATCTTGCCATTTTGATCAACATCCCACTTTATTACTCAAACTTACAGAATAACTGAAAAACATTTTAAGCACATGCATCTTCAAGCATGGATATTTTAAGGGCAAGATTTCTTACTTGGTATTATGTTGATGCCATAGCAATGCAAAGACATTTCAATGCATTAAAAAATAAACCGCTTTAAAACATTTTCTTCATTCTAGTCTTTTCCAGAGCATAATTAAAAGTAGCTATCACGTCAAAGAAATTACATTTACAGTTCATTGTTTAATTTCTATTGCATCCACAGTTCTGTACAGGAACAACAAATGATTAAATTAGTGTAATAAAAAAGCAATAACTTTGTATTATTATTAAAATCATTAAATCTTTCTAAGGAATAATATTGGACATACCCTATGAAACTGCACTAGCTGGCTCATTGAAATCAATATTTTTTATTAGTTTTTAAATTTAAATTTTATTTATTTATTTAATTTCTATTTTAGGTTGGCAATGCAAATGGCTAGTATACTTCCCTATGTAAAAAGGATTTGAGTTCTAAGTAATACATCTTGAATAAACAAATTATGACCGAAATTTTAGGGAAACTGAGGCAAGGGGGGAAGGAAAATATTTGTTTTTTAAAAAAAGCAACTGATGTTGGAAATGTTTAATATGCTGATTGGAATCACTGATGGTGATAATCATGGCCACAACATGATGCTCAAAATGTGCCATTAAACTTTTAGATATCACAAAGGCATACGAGGGACCGACCTATAATACTGAAAACTATGTGAGCCTTTTCTTCAGCATTACAACACCTGGCATGGTTATAACGTAACTATGAATTTTATGTAGCCATAAAGGTTTCCAATTTATTCTTCACATATACTCCTAGAAATTAAAAATATTTTATGCTATAAATATAAATATTATTTTATTACTCTGCCATTCAGATTGCAACTAAGCATATTCCAGCTCCTTTTCATCTTCCTCCCTTTTTAGTTTCACACAAATGAACAGATCAAGATAAATGCTCTCTGACACTGTTTCAATACTATTATTTTAGTACTAAAATACTTATCCTTTTCTTTGCCAAAAAATTCATTAAATAATTAATTTCATGAATTATAATTTGCATTTAATAATTTTATTCTTAGACTGATGTATATGAGGATTACAAATATCCTTAAAATGTACCTTTTATGTCCTTCAATTAGAGCATTCCATGCACTTGTTCCCAGTGGGTCAATGTGTATGCCAGTCCCAGATCTGGCAGATCCCATTACAAACCATCTGTAAGGAGGTCGCCTTTCTTCTCCAGCATATTTGAAAAGATCATCTTGGAAATAGATAGGTATGTCATAGTCATCCAGCAACTTTTTTCTCCTAGGATGCTAAATAGTACCGAGAGAAATATGTAGTACACAGAGGGCCAATAGAAATCTATAATAATAAAAGCAAGTGTAATGTGTCTGTCTGACCGAGCTCTCCAGCCAAATCTATCGCACGCAGGGACCTGGAATTTTTTATACGGAAGCACAAAGGGGCTGGCCACCAGACCTCGAAGCCCGATTTTCGATTTTTGAATTAGAAAAATTTTTAAAAAATTATTTATAATTAATTATCTGTCTGTCTGTCTGTCCTGACCGAGCTCTCCAGCCAAATCTATCGCACGCAGGGACCTGGAATTTTTTAACGGAAGCACAAAGGGGCTGGCCACCAGACCTCGAAGCCCGATTTTCGATTTTTGAATTAGAAAAATTTAAAAAAATTATTTATAATTAATTAATGACGGTTTTTTTGACTCACTGATATTATTATTTGTTTTCAAATAACGTTCGATTGTAACACAATTGATTTCTTTATTCTATTCTTTATCTAAGCGTTAGTTTGCTGTTTTGACGATACATTAAATCGATTAATTACAATTCATTTCTTTTTTGTAGCTTGTGGGGGGGGGGGGGGAGGGGGGAAGAGAGAGACAGTCTACACATGTCCTACACTACTATTCCTGCGCTATTCACTTATCTGCATTTTCTAAATGCACGGGCAATGCCAAGCGGGTACAGCTAGTAGTTAAAAAAAAAAAAAAAAAAAAAGATTTTCATTTCAAGTAATATGAACACTGGACATGTAATTATAAAAATACTACTTGCTTTTTAAATTATGTCAAAATTACAGCAGTAAATTCCATTAATACATTTTTTTAAATGTTTATATAAGGTGTTGGCACCCCATTACCCACAAAATATTTAAAATGCTGGATGTTTGTACATTTAAATTCTAAATTTTAGATATCTAGACAGCAAACACTCATATTGAATAATTTTAATAAAAATTTACATTTTATCAACTTCACAATTAAATTTTTGACAGAAACTGAATCTTAGCGACATCTAGAAAACACTATCTCACTAGATTAATCACTTTTCAACTGCTAGAAACATCTAGTTCTGCATACAGTATATTCTGCTTCCACTATTCTCGTATACTGTGCCCAACCACAATATGCTATGCTTTACATGTGAAAATTTTGTTCATATATAAACTAATCATTTCATAAATTTGTATTTTCAGTTGCAAGCACAGTACATGTTCTTCTCTTCAAATTCAAAGGTAACATTGTAAAAAAACAATGCTTGGTAAAAAGTAAAAAATTTCCTTTAAGCCAATTGTTCTGCATCAACAACTTATTTCACTTGCATTACAACAATTTGCAGGTTCTCTTGCTTGGTTAGCAACAATTTTAAGGTTTTTGCAATAAAAAACAAACTGTTAAAATATTAGAACTTTTGCAATCCATATAAATTAACTTTCTTTTGATATAATTATATACTTATTATTACTATAGCTGCCCCAAAGTATCTGCAGAACTTCTGCATTTCTGAAATATGCCCTCCTAGTAAAAAAGGTTGCTGACCCCTAGGTTACACTATACATATAAGATGAGAGAGGTTTACATAAAGTACAGTTTAAGGATGGATCATGTTATATTAAAGCCTAGATAGTATATCCTAAAATAACAAATATACTTAAAATAACAACAATAAAACTCTAACTGGCTGACAAGCACCTAACCATGTGGACCAGCTGTTCTGTCAATGGTGAAAAGAAAGAGCGAGGTCAAAAGAAACACAAAAAACTTATCACAGACATTAGAATACACAGCAAATTGTAAAATATATTTATCATTATTGGTATTTAAAAAATCTCAGGCTTTTTAACTGTAAACAATTCATAGTTATTTTACATCAGGTTCTAAAAATTTTACAAAATTTGTGCTGTACTCATAATATGGAAGTTAATTTAGAGAAATGGTTTATCAAACATTTTTATTTACTCATCAGACTTTGCAATTACACCTTTTATATTAGGGTTCACTGGTACAGGGATTTGAATACTTGGGTGTTATTTTCAACTGTAAACTGACTTGTAAAGAGCTTTCTGAAATGATTTTAAACATGCTACTTAGAGGCTAACTTTAATGAAGAGAACTGCTGGATCTAAAAGAGGTCATTCTAGAACCATTCTTGATTTGACATACAGTTCCTAAATTCTACCTCTTATTACTTACTGTTGCGACCCCTTGTGACATATAACCAAGTGATTAATCAATACAGTCAAAAGATTTCACAACCAAACTCTCTGGCATATCACTGGTGCTATTAAAAACACCCCAGGTGATGCACTTTTACTAGTTCCACACGATATGTGCATTAAATCCATTATGAAGGAGACAGCACTAATCCTACAGGAAAAAATATTAAAAGAACTAGACAGTTTCTCCCTGTGGAGCTACTGCCTTTTATCGAAGGACAGAAACCTTAAAACTCGGAAGGATTTTCCTCAGTCAGTATTTTTCCAACAACTTCCATCATCTCATAGGTCTTTGATAGGAAGCTGAAAATTTTATGAAGTCACTATATCCAACTGATAAAAGAGAATATGTTGTCAGAATTAATGTGTTATATGAAATCCTCAAAAAAGAAACAAACGACCAAATTTTAAAATCTATGTCTTTTGAAATAACAATGCTTTGAGAGTGAATGGCTACATGTGTTCATGGACGGCTCTATGCTGGCTAACAGTATTAACGCAGGCAATGGTGTCGTTTGAAAGCTTTTTTCCATTTTACAGTGCTGTTGGAACAGAACTGCTTCTGATGCTGAGATTATGGCCATACGCAAAGCCTTATCCCAACTTGAATGTCACCTTGAACATTTTTCAAATGCTGTCCTACTCTCTGATTCTGAAGCTGCTCTTCTAGCCATTCCTTCTTTTGAATCACCAATATCTGTTGACATTTTAAAATGTCAGCAGTTATTACACAATTCAGTTCAGGATGGCAAAGAAGTTGCCATGCAATGGATACCATCACACTGTGGTCTTCATGGAAATGAGAAGCACAGAAGAGAAAGGCACCTGAAAAGGAATGTGGTTTGAGAATTCACTCATTCTGTTTCTCATTAGTCAATGATTTTTTTGTTTGTGCTGCAAAGAGCAGACTTCTACATCAATTTTTGTGAATGATAGATTCAATTAAATCACAACACAGTGCACTGTAACAATTATCTCTGAGTGATTTGTTGCAAATCTTTGATGTCTTGTCTTAAAACTAAGATTGTCAGCACTGATAAAATAGTCGAAATCTACGATAATTTGTTCATGAAAGGAAAGATAACATAGGTTGCATACTACCTTCACAGAAACTTTTCAGAGGTTTGTGTCGAGAAACAGGAGAAGGCTTCCTAGTCGCTATATTCCAGGACATTCTGCTATGACTTTAATGGACATAATAGAAAATAATATAGCAGATTGAACTATATTCTTGGACTGCTGGAAAGGTTACATTTCATCCAAGCTGAAGGCTGCAGGACATGATCATTTCATAATAAAGCATCCATTTAATTTTATTGGCCTAATCTACTGAATGTTTCAAGGGTAATGCTAAAAGGTGGATAAAATTCCAAAGAGGCACTGCCTATCAATATTTTGACTCCTACTTAGTAGAATTCATGTGGTGCCGTCTACATCCGAAGATAAAAATGTTTTCTGCCATACTAGCAGATATATAAACTTGTTTCCCGTTTAATGTCCTCACACATTTCAGTTTATGTTTTTTTTACTATTTGAGAATGAAAAAAAATTCTTTGTTATGATAAATGCTATTTGTAATAACAAATTGCTATCTATAAACTATTCTTACAACTAGAAACTGTTTACAATTAAAAAAAAAAAAAAAACTGTCAAAATGCGTAGCAGGTGCATAATGGAAAAGTATCCATAAAGTTATCAGCAATCGTTATTCAGGTAAGTACATACAATAGAGATAAGTACATATAATTTCATAAAAGTTTTATGAAATTCCATAAAAAAATTATTAAATTTTTCTTACTTCTCCAAAACTACTATCAAATATGTATAAAGGGCTATCATCTTTATTGTGCTGCATATAATACACAAAATATTTCATTTTTAGCTTTACACTATATCCTTCATTATCTTCACCACATTTGAATTTTTGGTTCCGATATTTGCGAGCAAGTCTCTGAAATTTAAATAAAAATTTAATATGGTGAATGCTATGAATAAAAGTTTAAAAATGACATGAGAAGCAAAAATAAACACTGTAATGCAATAAAAAAGTATTTAGATCAGCACAAGGTTACCATCCTTCCAAACAAAGTCCAAATCTATATGAATTGCTTTTTGTATGTTATCATACAAAAATGCCTTGTCAGATACTCTGAATATCAAAACTGAAATCAGTTGATCTTTACAATATGGTAACTGGTAGTTTGGCTACATTTTGGAGGCAATAAAGGTTACTACCTGGGACTTTGGTAATAATGTGAGCAGTACTCAGTTCCGATTACACATTATTTTGTGTGGGGGAAATGAGAGATCATGGGATATGTCATGTGATATTAATGGACGAATTACGGTTCTTTAATCGGAAAAGGGGGGAATTTGGACAAGTATCTGTGGATGTATATTATTTTGTATTAAGTTTCATTGTGTGTTGTGTGAAGTAGGGTTGAATAATTTTGGGATTGTATGGCGCTGTCTAAAGTGAATTGTAGATGTGATAAAGAGAATTTTTTTTATCAAATTCTATCAAATTCGGAAAAAAAATCGTTCAGTAATTTTATTGAATCCATAATAAAAGTGTATCTACCATGTAAGAAAGATTCGGAAGAAGATTAGGTTAGTTAGACTTTGTTAAGAATGTGAGTAGTATTCAGTTCTGATTACGCATTATTTTGTGTGAGGGAAATGAGAGATCATGGGATATGTTATGTGATATTAATGGACGAATTACTGTTCTTTAATCGGGAAAAAATCTGGCAATTTTGTATTTGGCTTTATTCTGTGTTGTGTGAAATAGTGTTTGTGAATTTTTGGATCCCATGGCCGTAACTAAAGTGAATTTGAAATGGGTATTTAGTGGGTATTGAAAAGGATAGTAATAAATGTTTTTTAAGGTTGTGCGAGAGAGAAATAAAGATGTTTTATTATGTTATTTATTTTATTGGTATCTTGCTGTGAAATATAAGTATGATTTTAAATATTCTGAAACAGAAGTAAGAAAGTGTATCCGCTACGTAATCAGATTCTGAAGAAGATTAGGTAAGTTAGTATTTTTATATTTGAGGATATTATTTTATGCATTGTTGTAAATGTAAGGTGGAAAGGAATTTGGTATTATTGAGAAAATTTGCAATGATTTAGTTTTTTTTAAAGTAATTTGGATTGTAAGGTAATTTTATTAATTTAATGTATGTGCTCATTTATATTTTAAGTAGTGTTTTTGAATTTAATTATATTTTAATGAAATGATAGTTATTTTGTGAATTTTATGTTTGTAGGAATTTGGTATACGTTTAAGTTGAAATAAACGTGCACGGAAATAATTTAAATATTTGATATTAAGTATTTGTTTATGCTTGAGGTATGAATTCGTTGTGATGTGCATAATGAATAGATGATTTAGAGGTAAAAGTTTCTGGATATTCTATTTATTTATATGTGGAAATGTTGATATTGTAAAGGGTAAATACTTTTTCGCGATCATGTAATTTATATATGTTCTTTTTGCCGGGTTCAAGAGATTTAGAAAAATTGTCATGTATTTTCGTGAAATTTTTTTAATTTATGAGAAAAAAAGCAGTGTACATGGATATAGTGAAGAGTGTGTGCGCAATGCCATTTTTGTGCAATTCTGGGATGTTTTTTTAAGTAAAATAAGTCGACGTGTTACATGGTTTAGTGATATTTTTAATATGAAATGATAGTTATTTTGTGAATTTTATGCTTGTAGGAATTTGGTATATGTTAAGTTGAAATAAACGTGCATGGAAATAATTTAAAATATTGATATTAAGTATTTGTAATGCTTGCGGTATGAATTCGTTGGTGACGTTGTAATGTAATAGATGATTTAGAGGTAAAAGTTTTGGATATTCTATTTATTTTATATGTGGAAATGTTCATATTGGAAAGGTAAATACTTTTTTCGCGATCATGTAATTTTCATATATGTTCTTTTTACCGGGTTTAAAGATTGAGAAAATTGTCATGTATTTTCGTGAAATTTTGTAATTTATGAGAAAAAAGCAGTGTACATGGATATAGTGAAGAGTGTGCGCAATGTTATTTTTGTGCAATTCTGGGATGTTTTTTTAAGTAAAAATAAGTCGGCGTGTACATGGTTTATGTGTATGTGTTATTTTGAAAAATGCGTAAGGAGAATGGTATTGTGCAGTTTTTCCTAATTTTGCAGTGAATATTTGTCATGATTAAGCAGTTTTCTTTGATAAAATTTCTAGCATAAGTGTAATTCGGCTAGTAGACTGTTGGAAGAAGTGTTCAGGAGATAAAAAGAAAAGAAACATGTCTTCACTGGGAAAAAAAATAGAGGGTTGCTGTAGGAGAGTTGGTCGCCAAATTTTCGCCAAAAAATCGCCAAATTACCATAATGTAAAGATCAACCCTGAAATCTTGGCAGGGTAGCACCAAGGTCATGCGCTCATATGAATTTCATTTCATGATAAAATTCATGGCAGAAGAAAATACACACATACAACACTGAACTAACTCTATTAATATTGATTCTGTTAAGAACATTATGATGATGGAAATAATTAGATATGACAGACCTCTAAAAATGTTATTTGCATGACTATTAAGTCAATTTTGCAGCGTTATTCTGGCTTGGATTTGGGCCCTTAATTTTTTATAGTGGGTCTTCAAAGCTTGATATCTACTAAGACATTCTGGAGGGTTATATGCTTCTCGCACTGAACAAAATGTGAAATAGAACTATTTTTAATAACAATCCACCTTTTACAAAACAAATCTCTAGTTTTAAGTAACAAAGACATATATGTGAGAATTTTCATAAACCAGCCCAAATCCAATTTCAATTCTACTGATCATCTGGCATAAATTTTAATATAAACTCTTTCAATTTCAAAGGCAAACAAGTACAGGCCCCTCTTGAAATCAACAGAGTTTCAATTAAAATCTATGCGAAACACATGGTTGCAGTTTTACCTAATTTTAAGTTCCATTTTGACATGTTTCTTTTTTTCTCTCTTGATTCCCATTTCCTTATAAACACCATAGAATTAACAACATTGTTGTGACCTATGGGTTAATTGTTATCTCTTTAAATGATCAGATAAGCAGGGAGAAATTCACAATTTATTATAAAAGTTTGAGACTCGCTGCATGAAAAATAGCTAAAGAAAAACAAGAATGTTAAGTAATCCCTTCTTAGAGGATGAGAAATGTCATCAATTTCCAAAATCATTTACAAAGTAAATTCTAAATCATAATTCGATTATGTTCTTTGAAGAATCTCAGAGCCAAATCACAATTTATCCTAGCTCTTTGAACCATGTTTAAAGTACAGCACTTGGTTCTGAAGTTTCAGGAAGAATCAGTCATAAATCAGTTCAAAATGTATCAGGAAGAATCAGTTCAAAATGTATTTTTCTAAAATTTTTTGGAAGTTGCCAAGGTCGGTCAACAACTGCCAAATGTCACCAATTTGGTGAAAAAATATTTGTCAAGGCCTATCAGGAAAGTATTTGCCTATATAATTTATTCTACTTGAGCCTTTTTTTACAGTTTTAAGCATTGTTGAACTCAGAATTGAAATATCTACAATTCTATACCTCAAATAAACTCTTATACAGAAAACACATATAGCCACATTTTGATTAAACATAGACCTTAAAATTATGATTCTAAAAGCAACTAATAAATAAATAAATAGTTTAAACTACAATATTACAATAATAATATGTACATTAAATCTTTTTAACGTACATATTATTATTGTACATTAAACAATTACAGATCTATAGAATGCTATTGTAAATATCTGTAATTAAACAATTACAGATATTTACAATAGCATTTACGATAGCATTCTATAGATTTGGCAATTTTGCACTTAGTGCAAAATTGAAAAATGTGAACCCTTGCTACAGAAATAAAAATTAATATATTCAAAAAGATAGTTTATAGAGAACTCATAAAACAGGCAATAGTTTATAGTGAATAACTCAACCCAATTGCTTTTAAAGCAGGCATCCTTTCCTAAGAAAAGACAGAGCGGTTGATCTTTACATTATGGTAACTTGGCGTTTTTTTGGCGACCAACTCTCCTACAGCAACCCTCCATTTTTTTTTCCCCGCCGCCATTTTGTCTTCACGAAGTAAAGACAGTTTTTCTTTTTATCTACTGAACACTTTTCCAACAATCTACTAGCCGAATTACACTTATGCTAGAAATTTTATCTAACAAAACTACTTAATCATGACAAATATTCACTGCAAATTGGGAAAAAGTACACAATACCATACTCCTTACGCGTTTTTCAAAATAACACATACACATAAACCATGTACACGCCGACTTATTTTTACTTAAAAAACATCCCAGAATTGCACAAAAATGGCATTGCGCACACTCTTCACTATATCCATGTACACTGCTTCTTTCTCATAAATTAAAAAAATTCACGAAAATACATGACAATTTTTCTCAATCTTAAACCCGGCAAAAAGAACATATATGAAATTACATGATCGCGAAAAAGTATTTACCCTTCCAAATATGAACATTTCCACATATAAAATAAATAAAATATCCAAAAATTTTACCTCCAAATCATCTATTACATTATACACGTCACCAACAAATTCATACCGCAAGCATTACAAAAATACTAATATCAAATATTTAAATTATTTCCATGCACGTTTACTTCAACTTAAACGTATACCAAATTCCTACAACACATAAATTCACAAAATAACTATCATTTAATTAAAATATCACTAAACCATGTACACGTCGACTTATTTTACTTAAAAAACATCCCAGAATTGCACAAAAATGGCATTGCATCTTTAAACCTGGTAAAAAAAACATATATGAAATTACCTGATCGCGAAAAGTATTAACCTTTCCAAATATGAACATTTCCACATATAAAATAAATAAAAATATCCAAAAACTTTTACCTCCAAATCATCTATACATTATACAGTCACCAACAAATTCATCGCAAGCATTACAATTTAATATCAAATATTTAAATTATTCCATGCACGTTTACTTCACTTAAACTTATACCAAATTCTACAAACATAAAATTCACAAAATAACTATCATTTAATTAAAAATATCACTAAACCATGTACACGTCGACTTATTTTTACTTAAAAAAACATCCCAGAATTGCACAAAAATGGCATTGCGCACACCTCTCATACAAATCCATGTACACTGCTTTTTCTCATAAATTAGAAAAATTTTCACGAAAATACATGACAATTTTTCTCAATCTTTAAACCCGGTAAAAAGAACATATATGAAATTACCTGATAACGTATATACCAAATTCCTACAAATAAAATTCACAAAATAAACTATCATTTAATTAAAATATAATTAAATTCAAAAACACTACTTAAAATATAAATGAGCACATACATTAAATTAATAAAAATTACCTTACATCCTAATACTTTAAACTAAATCATGTCCTAACAATTTCCAATAATACCAAATTCCTTTACTTCCACCTTACATTTAGAAAATGCATAAAAATAATATCCTCAAGTAATTAAAAAACTAACTTACCTAATCTTTCAGAATTTTGATTACGTGTCCAATAAACTTTTCTTTAGCTACGGCCATGGTATCCAAAAATTCACAAACACTGTTTCACACAACACAGAATAAACCAAATACAAAATTTCCAGATTTCCCCCTTTTTTCCGATTCAAGAACCGTAATTTGTCCATTAATATCACATGACATATCCCATGATCTCTCATTTCCCTCACACAAAATAATGCGTAATCGGAACTGAGTACTGCTCACATTATTACCAAAGTCCCAGGTAGTAACCTTTATCGCCTCCAAAATGTCGCCAAACTACCAGTTACCATATTGTAAAGATCAACCGACAGGGCTACATATCCAGTTCATATATAATAGATGAAAAATGAACAAAACAAATATCATAAGCTTATCACAGTTAAACAGAAGATTTCACTTTACACTGAAAGGTACGTAAGTTATTAAATACAACAAAGCATATAGAGGATTATCTGTCTAAGGGAAGGGATGCCTTAATAGAGGACTTCATAATGAAAACCATCTCTATAACATTACACTTGGAAGAAATATCAAAAACCAAACATGCGGCCAGCATGGTATAGAACCTTGCTCGAACTCCCAGTATTATGATTAAGATTATGCCTAAGTACTTGAATCCAAATTTTACTGCACTTACTTTTTTTAAATCAACAAAGGAAAATATTAAAATATTTATCTCCCATTTCAAAATTTACATATGCCTCTCTGCTGGAATGTAAGGAAGCTGGCTGCTGAGCCTAGATTTGAATCCCAAAGATGACACAGATGCTTATAAATATAGTGTCCTTGTGACATTTGAGAATTTAAAATACTGGCAAGATGGAAGTCCATTCGAAGGTTAGTGGGCGATAAAAGAGGTAGAAGAGTCTTGGACTCATACCTGGACTGTTTTCCATCAAAAATGAAATGAAGCTTACCCTTTCTCAGAGCTATTAATTCAGTTGACCTCTATGGTGCACCCCGAGCAACATCTTCGTGATGAGACAGCAAAATGGTCAAACGATTCACCACTGCTTACAAATACTTAACTAAAATCTGTTTCTTTAAAACAGGTACTTCAAAGCCATTACCTGTCCCTCTCCATTTGCTACCATAATGCATGTCATCATCATGGCACAGCACTTATTTTCTGCACCTCATCTGAGACTGCAGTTCATGTCAGCCGAGCCTTCATTTGTGTATTTTTCATGAAATAATACACTCTAAGCAGAAATGGGTTGAAGGGAAAAATTAGGTGACTGCAGCTGTCATCCCAGAGTTTAAATGCAAGCCAGGGAGGGGAGGCAGAAAATGACTCTGTTCCTGTTTTAGAGTTACAGAGCTTCAAGTGTCTGGTTTAAGGGGGGAGGAAGGGAGAAGGGAAATGACTAACACAGTTAACAAATTCATATAATATGGACTTAAAATTATATACTATCCAGATGATATTTTAAATACCTGTAAAGTCCATTTATAACGAGCTTTCCAATGATCCGTGCATCCAGTAATTACAACTGGTTTGTATAATTTTTCATACTTTTCGATGAAAACATCTGGAGGTACATCTTTCACATTGATGCGTTCCACATTATCCTTAACAGACTTTAAATTAAGCTCAAAAGTGCCAGCATAATTTAGTTTTGACCATCCATTTCCATCTTTGTCATTCAATTCTAAAAATAATTGCATACAATAATTCTTACTGTTAAAACAGATTAGTTAGAATTAAATACTTTTTAATTGTTTTTGCACTTAGATTAGAAATAATAACAGGCTTTCATTACTATCAGATTTTGTACACATTGGATATTTTATGTGTAAGATAGTTGAGTTATTTTACACAGATACTCAGTATATACCTTGAAAGAGTGTAACATAGTACATCACAAAAACTTATAGATGGGGCTGCCTTCTTCCAAGCTAAGTTAAAACATATCGCTGTGTACATGGAACCTTGTCAAATAATTTTGGTTAGAAACTTTACGTTTTTGCTATCTAAATTTTTAGCTTAAATTGTGTGTTCAAAACGTGATTTTAGGCTTAAAGTTCGAAATGTAGACAAACAAATTAGATAGTAATATGGCAGCATGGAGTTTCTCGCCAAAAATGTTTGGCGAGAAATTTGGCGACTTGAGGGCGCATATCAGAGTAGTTCTTTAAAAAAATAGACAGAGAAGGTTTTACATTCAACTTTTATTGGCTACCTCAAATATTTATTCTTATAATATGGCTTTAAACTTCTAATCTTCATTACAGTTGCTTTCAATCTTTTCTTTAATACTGGGAAAAAAAAAAAAAAATTCCATGCTGATTCCATCGAAACGTAACACTTCAATTTGCTTAATTATTAAATTGTACAATAACAGTATATTAAAATTAATTCAATTTTTTAAATACAAATTAAATGCATTGCTATTCAAATAAATAACATCCTTAACTTATGTAACGATAAGTATTTTTTAAGAAAGTTATAACATATTATGAAACAGTATATATCATCATTTTCTTTGATGATAAGTTTAAAAAGAGTAATAATAATTTAAAAAGAGTAGGATAATTTAAATTAACAAAATTAGGCCTTTTATTGTACTATTAAAATGTTTCTATTTTTTAAATAGAGAAAACACCCAACATGAACTAAATGCAAGAAATGTTTCGAGAATCGCAAGTTGGAAAATAGTTTTGAAATTGCGTAATTATATTACTTATACGAATGTACAGCATGCTTACCGGGCCTAGCTCTAGCTTTAGCTTCATTAATTCTTTTGTAAGCCCGTCTCAGAAATTTGTCAGAATCTAGATCCATATAATGTAGGAAATAAGATCGCTGTTTTTATCTTAACTACGAAATAATTTGAGAAACCAGAAACAAAAAAATCTGCACCATAAACATTTACCCTCATTCACAGGGAGAAACTTACTGTTGAGTTGCGTTGAGAACTAATAGCACTGATTGTTTCATATATTTACTAAATGAATAGCATATAAAATTAAAATTTAAGTCTTTTAAATAATGATAATTGTTTTAAAAATTAACTAAATAATGTAGTTAATGATATGCTTTTAATTTGCATTTGGTAACATTTTAAGATAATAAATAAATTGTCAGCTGGATCCGGAGATGTTTTGAGGAGAACTGAACTGAAATGATGCTAAAGTTTGATAATTGTATGTTTGTGTATTTAAGCTGAACGAATTTAAGTTTATTAATTTTATCTGTTAGACGTAGATAAAAATTTGATCATGCAGTCAAGTTTAATTTTTCAAAAAATTACAAGACGTTTTCTGCATAAATTTTGTGAATATAAAGCAACTAATAGCAAATATATGACTTCTGCTATTTTGTCACGTTCAGGTTATACAAGCTCAGCTCAGAATGTTCGGTATTTGTTACCAGTTGCTCCTGAAAGTTTAATACCAAAGCGTTCAATAAAGATTTGGCCTCAGTTGTTTTCAGAAAGTGCTGAAGGTGTTGAGGAAGAGAATGATCAAGAAAAGAAGCCCGCAGTCGATCCATCGAAAGACAGAACTAAAATTATTTCTCCTGAAACTAGTATTCGTTATATGAAAAGTAAAGCATATAAAACTACTTACGGGGATGAACCTGTATGGGTAAAATATCGGCGTAATTTTAAGGGTCAATTTACTCCAAGGAAAACTCGCAAAACTTGTATTAGAGGAGGTGTAATAACATGTGGCAGTCCTTGCCCCATATGTAGGGATGACTATTTGGTTCTTCATTTACAAAGGGACTTATCAAACAGTTTTACCCGTATACTGTGAAATTACGTCAAGGAAAGTCATATTGCCAAAAAAGATTATTTCAATACAAATTGCTATGAAAAGCCAAATTAGGAATTCTACCTATGAGTGCTTTTAGGGCGTTGATTCTAAAGAGTACTACCCGAATGGATAGCTGGTCCTGGAAAATAAAATCTCTGATAGCGTCGTTCCACTCATGACGAGTAATATAACCATACATGTGGGAACAGGATATGAGTGTTGAATTGAGTAACATTGTGCAAACTCAATCAGACAGCTTTAACTGTATGAACCTTTAATGATAGCGTTTTTCATTGATATTATATTAAGAATTAAACTTAATCTCTTTCTTAATATTAGGTATAAGAAATAAGGATAAAAATTAACATATTGTAGGGTTAGTTACTATGTTTCAATGAATATAAATTTTAACTGCCCCCAAATCAAATTAGTTTCACATTTTTTTTTTTTTTAGCAATTTTGTTTATCTTACAATCTACTTAAAGTAATTTTGATAGTTTGAAATTGATATCAGCATGTTCCAATATTAATTCATAAGAGTAAAAAATTAATATGGCTTTTGTAAACATTTGTATATATCTACCATAGTAAATTTTCGAAGCATCACGGAACGGGTAAATGTAAACATCACCAACTTGCGATAATAGTGCAACCTGGAACCTAGTAATTCATCACATTCCCGTGCACGGTTGTGTTGCATTTGGAGATTTATTATTCTTTATGATTTTTTTCTGAATTTTTTAACACAATAGAAATATTTCCATAATTAAGAATTTCGGAAAGCTGCGGTTCTGGCTCGTCAGTCGGGTCAAAGGAGAAAATATGGCGGGAGGGGTGGATGCTAAGTTACATGGTGTTAGTATGTTCATATTATTAAAGCTGTAAGCGGCAGACCAGATTTCCAACCTAAAAATTTAAAAAAAAAAATAAATAAAAGTAAAGTTCTAGTTTATCAACATGCACGAAGAAAATTTGATACTGTTGAAGGTATTGTATGTGAAATATTTGAACAGGACAGTATTTGTTCAGCGTAAATTGCTTTAAGCTGTATGCCGTAACTGAAAAAAAAATACGAAAATTTGTAGATGGATGTATTAAACATCATTAATTTATAATAGGCTGTTGGTTTAATAGTATGAATGCACCGGGATTTGCGACTTTTGGCAGAAAAAAGGGGAAATATGATGAGTAATTAACGGGTCATTCAAGAAAATTTGTAGTTAAAATAGTATACTTGATACTTGATATGCGTTTCAGAAGGAATTTCCCCTCTATAACAGGCACCTCGAATAACCCTGGTAGAGGAGACATAATACAGTGCTTGCAAATACCTTGATAAGGGATTGCAGAAGATTGTGTAGATGTGGCCCAGGCCAGTGTAAATGAAGAAGTCATACGAAATTCAAAAATGCTGGCAGAAGTAGGAGTATTTATGGGGGTTCCGATAAAGGGGTTGCATAGGGCCTTAATTGATGTCAATTCTGGAGCAGATACTTAAAATTTCAGAATAATTTACCTCCGTGTTGTGATAGCTTTCTTGAAAAAAAATTATTAGTTTATGATGAATAAGAAAGATTTGGAGTTAAGTCTCTGGTAGCTGTATTACGAACGAAACCGGGGGGCTCCTGTGATTTTTCGTAATAGTGTTTTTTGGAAATGTGCATTATTTAATACGGAAGGGGGGACAGAGCACATGCAGGGGAGGCAATGTAGGATGGGTCTAAATGAGTGTAATGTGTTTCTTGCGAGCAATCCAGTGGTGAGGAGGCGTCAAGAAGTTTCAGAGTTCCTAGAGACTCCTATGGCTTTCCCGATGGTCATGGATGAACCTGTATGGGTAAAATATCGGCGTAATTTTAAGGGTCACTTTACTCCAAGGAAAACTCGCAAAACTTTTATTAGAGGAGGTGTAATAACCTGGCGTCCCTGCCCATAGTAGGGATATTGGTCTTATTATACAAATGTGGAACTTCTCAAACAGTTTATTAACCCTTATACTGGTGAAATATACGATACAAGGAAGATTCATATTTGCCAAAAAAGATTATTTCAATTACAAATTGCTATTGAAAAAGCCAAATTTTATGGACTTCTAAACTATGATGTGCCTTTTAGGGAGTATGATTATAAAGAGTATACCCTGAATGGGAATGCGAGTGCTGGAAATAAGGTGAGACCATGTAAGAGCGTTAAAACGAACTCCAATTTAGCCTCTCTGACTTTGGTAAATAGTATAACTGTATATAGTATTAGATAATATGGTGTGTAGTATGTATATAGACGTTCTTTGGATCATTTTTGGTGTTGGCGATAATTTCAAAGTTCGCAGGCGCACCGTAAACTAGGATTTTCCGCATGGTTCTACCGATAAATCAATCAACGGCAAGTTCTTAATAATGAAAAAATACACTTGTAATAGAAATATTAGTATTCATATGAAAGAGAAAATAGTAAGTACTAATGTAACGAAGTATAAGAATATAATTTTATTTTTTAAATGAATTTTACTTCAGTTGTTTATACATTGTTCTTTCTGCGCTAACTTGATTTATACAAGTTATTTCGTATATCACGTTTAACCTGTTAGTTTTACATCTACATACTTATTATCTGTGAATTTTTACTAACATTGTCTGCTGACTTGAATTTACATACACTAAAAACCACATTTACAAAATATCACGTTCGATGAGACGCGAGCTTGGCGAGTAAAAATGCAACGGCGCCAATGGGTTCTCTGCGGATGAAAGACACATTTTGATGTATGTAAGATGTCCTTTCACTGGAATTAAAAAATATGGGTATTTTTCTGTTATCGGGACCGGATTCAGAAATGTATGTATGTAGGTACGAATGTGCTCGCACACACATGTAAAACATACATGCATCCATACATATCTGGTCCCAATAGCAGAAAAGTACTAATATATTCTGTTAAAAGATTTGTATCTGTAGGATATTAATCACATTCTGAAATTAATTGCAGCAAAATAAATTAGTTTTTGAACATTTTACGGTTTGGGAAAAAGAATAAACATATTGTATGCTAATATATAAGTGTAATATTGATTTCAAGTATACAAAATATACTAGCCTTGTGAACTTTTCAAATAGCTGTTATTTTAATGGAAATGCCTGTTCTGGTACAAATGAGGATAATAGCTTAGCAAGAGTCTTTTAAGCTTAGTCAGTGTCATTGAATTTTGTTGGAAAGTCACTGATTATTAAAGATTTGTGCTTGTTACAACTAAATAATGAAATTCTGTGTTGTTTTCTTTTGAAGGTATATTTCTTGTGAACATCCACAGAAAGCCCATTGTTGATATTTCAAAAATACTAGTTGATACATAATTAATTTCTGATGGTAGTTGTACTTGAAATTTGACTGAACAGTGTAAATATTCTTACAGTCTCGAACTCTCTTTGCATCAGTAATTGTACATTTTTTTAACAACGGAACTGATATTCTCGTATTTGAATTTGCTGTATCATCACTACTCCTCTTTATTTTGTTGTCAGAACTACCATGGCTTATAAAATTTGTAATTCTGATTAGTATTCGGAACCCTATCGCACTTATATCTGATTGTAAGAAAGCATCTTTCCTGGACTGCAGATATTTGGATTATGATTTAATAATGAACACTGAATAAAATCTTTTTCACTTCATGTATAAATGTTGGTGTAGTTGGTTGATTATTTGACTATCACAGAGCATGCATAGTCTGCTTGAAATAGGAACTATGCCATCATTGTGGACTTTTTATCCAGGAGTATACACGCTTATATGAGTTACACGAGCACGCACACTTAGTCCAAAAGACCCAGTTCTTGTATATTGTAAATCTTTAGAAAAAAGTGTTATATCTATGCCAATAATAGATTTTGTAATGAAACTTATTAAAATATTTGCATTAAAATTTTAAATTTCTCCAAATGCTTTTGTGAAATAAAATTTCTTAAAAGAATAGAAAATCGTATTATATATTAGTATACGGGGAAAATAGTATAGTTTTATTGTGTATCGATTCTTATTAGCAATATAGATGCAGAAAAAAATATATGACAACAAATGTTAAGAGCACATTGAATAAAGTGTTGTCATATGTTCCAAATACAAATATTTGGCACAGTGTGTCCTCGTTTTTCTGTGCTTTTTCACTAGACAAAGACTGCATCTTTTTTTTTTTTCGTTTTCAATAAATTTTTTCTAATAAAGCAATTTATGTCATGCTCTCATTTTCAGAATCTATATCAATTTCTGAATCAGTATGATGTCAACTAATAGTTCATTAACATTTCCATTCTCATTTTCTTTAATACATTCTTCGCCAATTGATACACCTAATAACGTTTGCAGCATTTCTTCCTCGTAAGATAAATTACGAGACATGCTTTGACACACTACGAGACATGCAAGATTTTGTGCTGTCTATATTATCGCAAATCAACTATGTAATGGTAATATGAATAGGCGTCATGGGCCTAAAAGTCCCAGTTCAATCAAAATTAAAGCTGCAGCGGAAAAACTTCAGAAACATAAAGAGGTCAACCTCAGACACGACTACATTGGACCTGAATAACTATTCAAGTCATCTCTCCACCTGTGTTTCCAGGACATATACAGCTTATATCCTTCATCATAACATATTGCATTTGTTGTCCTGATTTGTCACATGATTTTTGTTAAAAACTAGTTAAGAATGGTCAATGAATCCCAAGCAGAGAGAAAAATATTGACTCTGGTTATATTTTTTAACCCTGATTTAATATTTTAAGATTATTGTAAGTATTTAAATTTGAGGTAAAAGGGAGTTATCGAGAGCATTTAAGAAACTAAAAAACAGCATATATCTTATATATACAGTGTATTTATAAACACTTTGTGTTTTATGAAAATTCTAGCAACAAAAGTTACAGTTTGTGCTTCACCATGAATAAACAATTCTGAATATTTGCACTGATATGTCACGATATTTGCATATGCAATCAGGTTGAGATTTTATTTGCTTAAAATCTGTGGGAGAGTTGGTTAGATATGTAAGTGTAATATCAGAATCAAAGTTCTGCAGTGTGTAGTTTTTCATTGCTGTTTTTGAGGGCTGGCACTATGTTCATTTTTGCTTTGCTTCTATTTTTTATATATATGAGATAATATAATCAATATTTCTTTAGTAAATAAATTATTAACTTACTTTGCAGCAATTGCGAGAGTAGAAGAATAACTCAATTTTGCACTTAGTGATTTAGATATATATATATATAATATTTGTCATTCTCGTGAGTTTGGAAAAACAAATTTCTCCTGAAGCATAGTAAACTGTGTCTGTGATCGTGTTTGAAATTGTTGGAGTTTTATACAGTATCTACTCCAAATTGAGCTGTTTTTCCAACTTCTTTTCTAAAACTTTTGGAAGGCAAAATGCTGCTTTAATAACAAATGCTAAAATCAGAAACAGTTATTGCTGATATGACAGAGTGTTTAATGAAATCAATGATTGGAAGCCTCAGCTTCAAGGTGATGACTTGTCTAATTTCTGCATTTGTGGCAAAGCTTAAATGCATAAAAGAAACTTGGAATGGAGAGACTTTAACTGCATTACAAATTTGTAAACTGTATGAAAAAGTAACACAGATGAACTTCAGTTCATTTTTGGCTTTCTTCATCTTTGGCTTCATCTGTGGAATTGGACTTCAGAAATCCTGAGCCATTTAAACCCACTTTTTGTTTGATTTCAAAAGCTTCTCTAACCTTAAAAGAATTTTTAAGCTAAAAATAAATGAATAGCTGAAATTTTAATTTAGATTAGGATATCTCAAAACTTAGTTTATGGTACAGAGATTTCTCATAGACTTTTTATCTTCTCCAGTGGGAAGTGGGTTCTGCGCAATAACAATTTCAATAACTGAAAAATGAAACTGACTGCAGATCACAGAGATTTGAAAATGTTAAAAATGAGCAGAATATTGAAAAATTGATAGAAACTCATTAAACTTTTTTTTACAGGTTTGTTTGTGTTCCAATACTTTTTGTTGCTAAAAATTAATTATGTATTTATTGTTGATTTCAGTCATATTCAGATAACCCAACCCTCACCATTACTATTTTATTTTCTTGCATATTTTTATAACAAATATAAAAGGAGATATTGAAGTGATTTTAAATGATTGTGTATTTGCCATTAATTTCATTAATATAAAAATAATTATACAGTCACCATTATTATTTTAATTTTTTATAGCCAATAAATATAGTAATTTTTATGTAGGCCCTGCAGGGAGAGGGCAGGTTGAGTACTTTATATAGCTGAATTAGTCAAACAAAAGGCAGTCATCCTCATGTGATTAAAATTACCCGAGATATTCTTAATCAAAGATTTTTAAGAGACTATACAAACATTGTTGCTATAGATAGTTATTAATTAAAATTTTTAGAGTAAATTTTCAATCTAGTTCCTTTTAAAAGTTATCCTCAAAGGCAGACAACCATATTTACTTAGCACAGAAAAAACATAGTAAGGTCAAATTAGCATATTTTCTTCACCCAAAATGTAAAAGTAATTGAGAAAATTAACAAAAAATATTGAATTAAGAGGTACTAAATGTTAGAAGTAGCATGAAAAATTTGTGTACGAGTGCATGAAACAATCCGTATGATTCTAAAATTAGGAATAAAAGTTGAGACTTCATTTTAAAAATTCAGAATATATCTCACTGGTGTAAAAATGATCAAGGTTTGAAACTAAACATTGGTAACATCAAAGAGCTTGAAAACATGTATTCAAATATAAATGATATTAAAAATTATAAAGAAATAACTAAATATGCAGGAATAAAGGTTGAAAATGCGAATGAATAAATAATGATATGAAATTCTAGAATTAGTAAATGTAAGAAAGACTATTACAGAGTGAAAAATTGCTGAAGTAAATTGAAATATAGAACTATAAAATATGGACTATTCAATATATAACTTATGAATAATCATTAACAGTGGTAAAATAAAAATTTTCACTTCATAATCTTGGTATGTTTAAAAAATTTAAACATGTGAAAAAATCATGTAAAATTAAGTGAAATAGCAAATAAGTAAAATTAAAAGCATTATTAAAATTGAAAAGTATAATACATAAGTTAAAATTTAAAGTATGTTGCAAACTAGAAATGTTAAAAAAAAGAAAAATGTCAGAGTGTTAAAAGTAGTATTTAAAATTAAATAGTATGATAAACAAAAATTATAGATTTGAATAGATACACTCGAAAAATATAATAAAAAAGTTAAAAATTAGACTATGTTGAAGTTTATAAATGTTAAAAATTAAATAAAATCACATAAATGCTCAGAAAATGTATGAAATAATATAAGTTGAAATACGGAAACAAAAATCTGTGTAAAATGAAGTAAATTAATTAAAATCAGTCATGCAACAATTACAGAAAACGTCATTATGAAGAGAAGATATAAGAAATACGTTAAAATTCAGAGTATGTTGGAAACTAGAAAGGCCCTCCAAGAAAATGCCAGAAAATTTAAAAGTAAATAATATGATGAAAAAAAAAAAGTGTTTTTGATTAATTAGTCTTGTAATATATAATAAATAAGTTAAAAATTAAAATATGCTGAAAATTACAAACATTATGCAAACTGAAATAAAACAATGTTTCAACAGACAAGCAGACTGAATGCTTTAAATGATAGAATTTAAACAAAATAATTCCAAATCCCAAATATATAACACATTTTCATTAATAGAGGGCATCATGAAAAATCATGAGAATTTCCCACAAAATGTCCTGATGAAATTACTTTCAAAACATTCAGAGTATGTGAAATCAATTATTAAATATGTATAACTGTAATAAACAATTATTTGTTAATTATTACAAAAGGTGCCTAATGCTTTTATTAATTGTGATATAAAATTTGTAAAGAGAATTACTTAGTATTTCACACCATTAAACTTTATGATAAATTATTTTATAAAAACTTTTCATAACTGAAGATATAAATAAATCGGGCGTAGCTAGAATTTGCAGCGCTGGGCGACAACTGAAGAATTTGCGCTCCTTCTGTGTGCCAAGAATGGAAAACATTTCATTAAAAAATTTCAAAGCATCAATTTGGCGCCCCTTGGATGCTGTGCCCGGGGACAGATGTCCCCTCTTGCCCCACCCTAGCTTCGCCATTGAAATAAATGTTAGTACTGAATATCACTTCTTGAAGATAACCAATCCCACAGAAGACTCAAATAATCTGAAAGTGCAATGGCTGTCTTGAATAGGTTCATTACATTTAATTTTGATCAAAAATATGTACTATCAAACAATCATTTAAATCAGCAAATTTGTTTTGTAATACATTAACAAATGCCACTTGTAAAAATATCAAATGTTAAATTTTACATTTTCAAGAACATTTTATCTGAAGTGCTGAAACTACTCTAATAAAATCTTCTCTACATGTTATTAAAAAACTCTGTTTTTTTTTTTCTTTTGTTGTTTTTTTTTTTTTTGTTTTGTTTTTTTTGTTGTTGTTGTTGTTTTTCTTAATGTATAGAGTGAAGAATTTATATTAATTTTATCACTGTCATTATAAAAGTCTAGTGAAGAAGTTATATTAATGTTATTACTGTCATTATAAAACTCTAGTGAAGAAATTATAGTAATGTTATTACTGTCATTATAAAAGTCTTACAGTAGTTAAAACTATTAAATCATGGCATAAATCGGTTTTATTAAAAGTCATCAACAAAAACATAATAAAATTTTAATCTTTAATATAACAGTTTTTTCCCCCATGGAAAAATTTTTTGGTACAAAGTAAATCACTCTGAAGATTTGTACTTCTTTTAGACAATAAATTGAAGGAACATTCCAAATATTCTAATAAATGTCAATATAAACATTTAAAAACCAAATACACTATTTACAACATAAAAGACTACTATTTCATCTGTCTCTTTTGAAAAATTACAAAAAACCAGAGAATACTACATTTTATATAAAATATTTGGTATTATATTTTAAACATAGTATTTTTTAAGTATTTTATACAAATAACTATTTTAAGTTTTATTAATATAAATCTGATTTATACTAGAAAATAAGATAATATGCATTAAACTGAACTAAAAAAATATTTTATTAGTATATCACACAACATATACTAGTTGGTATTAGAGTGCAAATAATTTTTCTTACACTGCCATTAGTTTAGGGAAAACAGTTTATAATATTAACATCGAACTTTTATTCAATAATTTATCAATGTAATACGGTATTAGG